TTTTTTTTCTTTGCTCTTCCCTGACAAAGGTGTAGATAATAAAACTGTTTTTTTTTTTTTTTAATTTTATTTTTTTCCAGATGATATTTGTGTACTTTACCACACTGCAGCATAGAAAACACAGGCTTATTTATTGCCTAACAGCATACGTGTGTTTTATGATTAATGTGTGGTGTTTGCTATACACGGCACTGATAATTGATAGGGAGATCAAAGTCTGCTGTGAATTGACAGCAGCACTATAAACAAGGTGAAAAGGTTGCAGGTGTTTCCCATGTGGGTGTTATATAAAAACATATGGCCCTCTGCCACAACACAGGATACGTGCTCTCTGTCTTTCCCCATGCAGCAAGACAGTGTTTCTGTAGCACATCCACGGCAAGTGCTGGAAAGGAAGAGAGTCTGTTTGTGTGCTGCAGGATGGGCTGCACCGTGCCATGATGGTTGGATTAGATGATCTTGTAGGTCGTTTCCAACCGTGTGATTCTGTTGTTCTGTGTGCCCCTTGTTCCATTGCTCCTGTCTTGGCTCATGGCTGGATGTAGTGGTGTAACCACCAGGAGCAGGGAGGTGATCGTCCCTATGCACTCAGCACTGATAAGGCCGCACCTTGAGTGCTGTGTTCAATTTTGGGCCCCTCTCTACAAAAAAGATATTAAGGCCTTGGAGTGTGTCCAGAGAAGGGCAACGGAACTGTGAGGGGTCTAGAGCACAAGTCTGATGGGGAGCAGCTGAGGTAACTGTGGTTGTTCAGTCTGGAGAAGAGAGGCTCAGCAGAGACCTCATTGCTCTGTATAACCTGAAAGGAGGTTGCAACGAAATGGGGGTTGGCCTCTTCTCACAGATCACAGTAGGATGAAAAGAAGTAGCCTTCAGTTACGCCAGGGGAGATTCATGTTGGGTATTAGAAAACATTTCTTCTCAGCAGGAGTGGTGCTGCAGTGGCACAGGCTGCCCAGGGAGGTGGTGCAGTCACCGTTCTGGAGGTGTTCCAGAGCTGTATGGATGTGGCATTGAGGGACGTGGGCAGTGGGCATGGGGGGATGGGATGGTGGTCGCACTAGATCATCTTAGAAGTCTTTTCCAACCTTTACAATTCTAGGGTTCTGTCAGGGTCTCATGCATCTGTGACTTCTGTGGCCATGGACAAACTAGGTGCTAGGAGTGGGGTGAGAGACCTGGACTGTAGCTCTGCAGAAAGCAGTGGTGGGGTATGCACAAAGCAGCAGAAATCTTTACTAGATTGCTGCTTATTCGAGGGGTTAAAAGAACTGATGTATCTTCTAAATGGCTAAGTAATTGCAAAGAGGACAGCAGCATCCTGGATAGAAGTCTCTCCCTTTCATTAAGTGCTGCAAGAAAGATGATTGCCTGCTCCTATTCCTACAAACGAAACTGCTTCAGTTGACTCTGTTTGGTATTTGTAGCCTCTGGAGTTATTAAAACACTCTGAATGCAGATTAACTTCCCATGCTTGATACACTACAGCGTAACCACCCCCTTGACCTTTGGTAAACATGCTGGAGGGCAGTCTTTTCCATAACTTCTGCTGGTGAATTTGTGCCCTCTGTTGAACAACTCTGAAAAACTCTTAGTGCAGCCCTCCCAGGGATGGTGCAGTGCAGGCTGCTTCCCTCTGGCACCAGCAACGTATGGGGTCTTGTCTCCCTCCCAGCCCCTGGAGAAAACTCACACTGTCCTCATGCTGGTGATTTACCAAATGTGCTCTATCTCACCTTCCAACAGATCTAAAAAACATAGGTGTTTTTCTCTACTTCAGAGGGATGCATTCAAACTGAAATTTAATAGGAATTTCCCTAGGAGTGTGGCTTGAATAACTGATACCTTATCCACCCTTGAAAATGACAATTTTGTGTGTTGTGAACATTTCACAAGTGTGTTACAGTGGATTTCTTTCTCTATGGACAGAGTTGCATTACTCTGTGGACACTGTGCTACGTTCACACATTCTTGTTTCTGTGCAGGAGTGACCTAGGTAGTCATGAACATACACTGAACGTCCTACGTGAGAGTATTACAAAGGTTTGGGCCAAGTGCTGTAATGGTACTGTGTCACTGTAGTTAAAGGCAGAACTCTGGCATGTGGACAAGCCCTGTGAAAAGATTAAGCCAGAGAAAGTTAATAAAAAGTGGTGTCCTAAATTATTCATGAATCCATTTGTAATGTACTTGCTGGGAGGCTTTTGTTTTTTCTCAAACTCTTATTTATTAAAATCTGACAAGAATATCGGGTTTTGTTCAATAATAAATCTAGGTCTCTGTGAAGCTGGTGATATCCTCATGTAGTAATACAGAATCAAAATGGAGTTACATGCTAAGGGTGCATATGTTATTTACTTTGGAAGAATAGATTATTGTTCAGAAGGATTTTATCTTTTACTTGCAATTTGAAAATGAATTTATTGTTGTTTTAAAATATAGCTGGGAATGTGCTCCTGGTTTTGAGACTTGGATGCTGCAGAAGATTTTAAGTGTATTAAAACTCAGTTAAGTGTACTTATGGTGGTTGTGGAGGTTCTGGACCAGTATTTGCTAAATCTGATAGTTCTTATGGTCCTGTTTCATACTTCATGGACATCATACTTAAAGCTTGTGGATTTTGTTTTGCAAACTGTGTCCATAAATGCCCTCTTCTTTCTATGTCCGTGAAAACATGAGATAAATTGTACTCAGAAAGTATTGGAAAGGAAAAAAAAAAAGGCAGGAAGAGAGTTTTACTGATTGGGGTACAATAGAAAACAATCATTTGAGTGCATTAGCTGTAAAAGCAGAACTGGGAGTTTAGTAGACTGGTCTGAGCTGGAGAATGATGCATACATTTGTTTGCATAAACTTGGCTTACGAGTCACTTTCTTGTAAAAACAGGTTGAGCAGAACATGCTCCTGTCCCATACTTTAGTCCTAATACAAGCACAAATGTACTGTGACACAAGTGCTCTGAGAGTACCATCCTCTTATTGCCATGGATTGCAGCTGGAGCTCTGCAGCTTGAAGTAAGCTAGAAGTATCATGTATACACACACACATAAGCCTTGCAGGATGTCTGGTGTGGTGCTCAGGGTTAAAATATCTGGGTAGTCTTAATCAGCTTCTGCTTCAAGTTTGAATCTGGTGTTTGAGACTTGGTTGCTAAGAAAAGCTGTGTGTTGGAGCACCAGTCACTAGCCATTAAATGAGACACTCGGTAAACTTGGGGAGGGATAGAGAAACATGAAGTGTGAAGGAAGATCATCGAAAGAGGTCGTTATTTGTGGCTGATAGTCCTGGGTAGATTTGGAGAGATACAGACTTTCGCCTTGGAAGCTTGCTTTGCATTTTTAGCGTCAGAAATGTACAAAATACATGAGGAAGGGACATGAGGGATACTATCATTTTTTGCCAAAGGTTGATCAAAGCACTATTTAAAATGAGACTTCAGCTCTTCCTTGTGCAAGCTTAAAAATCCTGAAGAAAACTTTTGACCATTAAAAGATGGATGCTTTGCTATGGTTTAATAGACTAGGAGAGATGAGAGGCTTATTTTAATAGAGAATTAGAACCCACGTCTAAGGTACAAGTGAATCCTGTGGGTTGGATTTGGGAAATAACTCTTCCCTCTGGAAACCCACCAAATATGAAAATATGATCTCTTTCTTCCTGAAGAAATTTTTTTCTTATTCTTTTCTGACTTTTTTTTTGTTATGAGTTTTGGTCGAATGGGGTCAAGAAGGACTCTGAAACCTTGCTTTGGAATCAAGATATTTGTCTGACTTGTTTGCCCCTGGTGGAATCAGTGCTGCTGCAGCTTCATTGCCATGGGAACCTCCACTTACTAAATTTAATTTAGCCCAAGGTTTGCTTGTCTGCTCTGTTGCTGCAGTGTAGACAGGTGATAAGCAACATATTGATATTAAGCTATATCATATCAAAATGATTAGGCAGTGCTGCAGCATCTGTGGTTCCACTCTTCTGCTGTGCTCTAAGCTACCCAGCCTTCCTGCACCTGCATCCAGCCTCCTCCACTCTTCTGGCACAGCTGAGGCAGTATCACAGCATCACCTGTGTAATCTTTCTGGTCCAGCAACTGAGAAAGGTAGGGGCTGCAGGCAACCTTTGCTTGCTAATGGTGCTCCTTCCTGCTCTGCAGAGCAGCCAAGCACTGAGTGTCCACAGAAATATTGCTGGGAGAAGGGAGGTCTGTGCCCCTAGGAACTATGGGATGTGGTCCCAGTGCTTCTGTATCATCCACTGAGGTATCAAGTCCCCAGAGGAACAGGTCCTGGTGATGCAAGGCCAAATCAAACTGGGAGCAGGGAGATGTCTGAAACAGAGTGGGACGTGTCACCTAGTCTTGTCTTAAAGTTTTATTAGCTTTCTTATACATAGCAAACATTACAGGTTGTTGGGTTGTCTTTTTTTTTTTTTTTAATTGGCATCATTTTGTGTTCAGATGGCCCTTCTTAGATGGTAATGATGAGCCTGTAAGTCTGAGATGCTCTCAATTCCAATACTTCCAGCAGAAGTGGTGGAAGTATGCATTTATTGCATCCACACTGTGGAGAAAGGTAAATTGTAGGCAAGACTTTGTCATGGAAAGGCATGTTGTATGATTTGCTGCAGAATAATTGATTTTGTAGGTCTTCCACAGTTGTTGGAGTTGTTTGTTGCTAAGGTTTTGTCCCTCTGTAGTTGAGTTTACTGATACTGCATCGCTTTGTACTGAATTTGGAACTGAGCAGTGTGTGTAAACCACTATGTTAAAATGTTGGCTACGTATTGATTAATCAGTAAATGCTTTAAGCTATTTCTTTTAAATTCCGGGACCACACATCTTACTTTAATAGTTGAGAGAGATGGGGAAGGATACTGATCTGCACAATAGTACATACTTTCTGTGGTGTTTGTTCATGGCGAGTATTTTCAAACCAAGAAAAAGATTTTAGGAATTGTGATGATTTTCTGGTTGATGTTATCTGCTAAAATGACTCTCTTTCTTGTAGATACTATATTGGTCGCCAGATGTTTGTGGTGATCTCCGCACCGGAGGTGATCAAGCAAATCTTAGTGACAGACTTCAGTAACTTCACCAACAGAACTGTAAGTAGATGGAAGGTCCTCTTTGTGGACAGAGGTGATAATACTGCTAATTTGAGCTCAGATCAGAAATGGCCACAAGACAGCTGGAAATGCAGTGGGGGAAAGCATGTGGTTCAATAGAACTTAAAGGTATAGAAACTCTATGTGTTTCAGTCAAAGATTTTTATTACCAGAACTGAGAAGATGAAAGGGACTGCCATTAAAAGAAATACAATGCCCTTGTGACTGAGGCACCAAATAGATGTAGGAGAGAGAGAGAGTTTCAATATCCAGTTTTGCCACTTACCTCCTAGGAAAATCCCATACTAGCTCTTTCCCTTGGTTCTCACCCTGTAGTATAGGCACAGTATTATTTGCTTTCTCCTACTCCTGGTCTCCTTTGTCTATTTAGATTTTCTAGGGCGGGAATGGGCTGCTGGGGCCTCTCTCAGCTGACATAGGTTTCTTAGCGCTTTGAAAATAAAGAATAGAAAATAATTAAATTGGGATTTGCAAGGATTTATACATATATTGCTGATTACTTATTTTACTGATAGAAATATATATATATTGAAAAGCACTTTTCTGAGTTCTGGTTAGAACAAATAAAAAGAGAGAGGGAATAGCCAGAGATATAGTAAATATTTCTGTCAGTTTCTCATCATTTTGTATCACTGTGACCACATACTGCCATCCATTCTTTTCTTCCTCCTGGCCCCTTTGTATGCGCAAACCTGCTCACGTAAACCTGTATGCATTCATGTCCTCAGGGAAAATTTCATCTCTGATCAGCTGTTTGCCTCCTCTGCCCCTCTGATCCTCTCCGCAGCCAGTCAGTTTGTTTGCAGATTGCTTGTCTCCTTTGCTTGCTTCTTCTGCTACATGAAGTTCATCTTGTGACTATTTGTATCTTATTTAATAACCACTTGTACCAGTCACCTTGCATTCTGCCTGTAACTCACATCTAAATGGAAGAATCAGTGTGCAAGCTTTCTAGGCTGAAGTTGTTGCATGCTGTAACATTCTTTTCCCCATTTTCTCTGTATTCAAAAGAATTTTCTGCCCTTTTCCTTCTTCAGTCCTCATTCATGTAACCTATTTCTTCCTGTCTACATGCCTTTCTCCTGTATATTTGGTATGAGTAGGTTGTTTGCACTATTCACAGCTGTAGCTGATGCCCAAACAACACCTTTTGAAACTAGAGATCATTCCTTTTAGGCTATATTCAAATACTCACTCTACATTTAATTTCAGTCAGTCTCACCATTTGAATATATTGGCTGAATTTTACTTTCTCTTCAGACTTTTGTGGTGGGAGGTTTATCTCTCTCTTTTGGTTGTACAGCCATCTGTCATGGTCTAATATTTGTTTGCCTCTCAAATTCAGGTAATTCAGATCACTGTAACAAGTCTCTCTCCCCTTTTATTTTCTTCATCAGAGATCAGCTAAGTCCAGTTGTCTGTGTAGATTCATATCTTGTCCATATCGCTTGACTGTCCTTGAACCATCTGTAAGTTTTTTTGCACAACACCCTCCTTTCTGCATGAGGAGCTGAGGCACAGACTGGTTGATATCCCTGCTACCTACCAGCAAGCATGTGACATATGTCCTACCTTTCTCTTTAAGAAAAGGAACAGTTTTTCCCCCTGTACACTGTTACTAAATCTGAGTTGCTCAATGCCCATAATCCTAATTCAAATGAACTTGCTTTATCTTGTGTACTTTTATCTGCTCATTCCATGGTCTTTTCACATAGCTGCAATCTTTGGGCGTTACCTTTTACTTTCCACTTTGTTTCTCTTCTTCTACCTTTTACTTATCATTAGTAAATGATAAGCAACCTTTCATTTCTGGGTCCTTCCACATTTGGCTTGGAAATCTTTTTTCCTTCTTGAATTTTCATACTGGGTGCTCTCTCTTTCATAAATCTCTCAGTGAGGTGTTCTGGTATGCTGTATACTAAGGATTCTCTGTGTGTTAATAAATAGTGCTGTACTGTATGTAAAGAAGGTCAGCAGATTTTGTTCAGGTATAATTTTGGTTGTAAGTGAATACTGATGGAAAGGTGAGAGTGGGGAAAAAACAGTTTCAAGAAAGAGATCCTTCTCATATTGACTGGATAAATGTAATTTTAAGGCTTTAATAATGTTCTGTTTATACTTCTAAAAACTACTCAAAGCAAGCTTCTCTACTTCAAGCGAGAGTCAGTTTGATGGGAGAATTCAAAACACAAACTAGATCTCTCTGCCTTATTTTATCCATTCCTTTCCCAAATGATGTGCTGTTGAGTGGTTATGGAATTGGCTTTGGAGTCAGTGCTGTTCACAAATTTAAGCTAATACATTTCAATCCAGACGTGGTATTCACTTATGTTGTTGTTTAACGTGGTAAGCAGATAAACACCATGCAGCTGTTCACTCGCTCTCCCCAACCAGTGGGGTGGGGGTGAAAATTGAATGGAAAAGTGAAAGAATTCATGGATTGAAATAAGTATAATAAAGAAAAAAAAGAAAAAAAAAAAAAAGTGAAAAGATAAAGCACAATAACAAGAAGAATAAACAAAGCACAATTACTCACGAGCCGCTGACCAGTGCCTAGCCAGACACCAAGCAGCACCTACTCCAGATGGCTCCTCCAGGTGTATTGTTCCACATGATGCCCTGTGGTATGGGATATCCATTTGGTCAGCTAAGGTCAGCTGTCCTGGATGTGTTCCTTCCCAGCTCCTCAGCATCCCTACTGGCAGGGCAGAACAAGAAGCTGAGAAGTGCTTGACTTAGTGTAAGCACTCCTGTGTAACAACTAAAACATCAGTGTGATATTAAAAATATTCTCATCCTAAATCTAAAACACAGCATCATACCAGCTACTAAGAAGAAAATTAACTCCATCCCAGTTGAAACCAGGGCAGTTTATTTTGACCTAACACATTCTCTCAAGCATCAGTTTTTCAGAGTGGGAAACATGGGAATGGAGAAAGCCCCATGGGTGTGAACAGCCCTTGAGAAAATCCAGCATGTTCTTATTTTTTCTTTCCCACTTTTTTTTTTTTTTTTCCCCAAAATTCATTTCCAAAATCTAAATTTGTGCCTCATACACCAGAGAGGAAATGTGAATTATCTAACCCTGAATGCCACACAAAGAGAGATTATTCACCATGTTCTGCAGCTGTTGCATCAACAGCGTGTTAACATTGTCACTAACTTGAATGAGGGATAGGATGATGTCTAAACGGCTGGTGTATTACAGGGTAGAAAATATTTATGTTTCCTTTGTATTTTTCTGCTCTTTCAACTGCCTAAATATGTATATATTACAGTAAGAGACAATGGGAAATTCAACTTGTGAAGGGTTGCAAACAGTGGATGTACTTGATAGACAAGAGCGAATCAGGCGATGATTCAGTGAACTTGGAGCTTTTATTAAAGCTATTCATAATGTACTGTCATGTCTTTGAGAGCTTGTAAGAAGGATGACCTTAATCTGAGATTGTGCAATTGCCGGCAAAGTCACTATTTGTTGGCAAGTAGTCAGGAGATCATTACGGAATCAGGGTGGTTTTAATCTTCTTAGAGGACTATTGGAAGAGTTTGTTTAGTTTAATACCTGGATGAGAGATCCCATGTTTCAGTGAGGGAAACAGATAAAGGGCTGTGCTCCCTGCAGCCTGGGAGGCTGAGTCTAAAGTGTAAGAAGACATGTTGTGCAGCTGTACTGATGTGAGTGCCAGGCTATGGCATGTGGGGATTCTTGACTAAGAACTATTCTCATGGAGTAGGAAAGGTCACCTTTGCCTTGTTTTCTTCTAGAGGGAGGGCTGAAATAATGAGAGTTTTATCTTTCTCATTTTTTGTGTGTGCCAGAAGGAAGCTGGCATGGTGTTGTATTTGGCCGAAGGGACATGGCTGTGGTGGTCCTGATTCAGGGACTTATTTTCAGTAACTGGGTGTTTTGTTACTGGATTGACTGAGTGCCATAAGGATTCTTCCATGCTTGCCAAAGCAAAGCAATAACAGTAGGTGCTGGATGTATTGGGCCTATCCATGCTGGTTGTGTCTATGCTTGAATGACAGCTGTGAAAAGGCAGCGTCTTGCATCCTCTTTCCATACCCAGAGAGAAGTAGAACACTTCTCCCGCACTGAGCCTGAGTGCTCGCTTATTATAAGGACAAAATAGATTTTGCATGTGAACAGGTGCCAAATGATTGGTAATTTTTTTGTGAATATGTTTCCCTTTGACACTACATATTTCACATCTTTGCTATGAATATCTTTTGAATAATGCTTTGAAAAGACTTTTAGATTCCTTTGCCCTCTTATATTGTTTCTGAGCTACCGATTAATAATTCTTGTGACAGAAACCTATGATGACTGCAGATCAAATCTGCATTAAGGTTCACTTCATTTTAGAGCAAGCAACCAGGTCTTGCACAGAGAGTGTTAGTCTCCTGCAGATGTGGGGTATATTTTATGTTAACCATATAATCACAAAAAAGCTATAATGACATCCTGTTTTCCCACTTAATTTTGACTTGAGTAAGGTGAGCATTGTAGGTATTTAAAAATAGAAAGGTCTACTGTAATGTACCTTCATACTGGAGGCATATGAAGCCTTTTCCCCATGTTTTTAATTATACTTGAAGGAGAAAAGATGAAAATTAGCTTATAGACATTCTGCCAAAAATATGGAACTGATTTTAGTTTAAGTTAACTATGGAAACCTCAGCCAGAATGCTAGGCAGGGCTGTGCCACAGTGAATAATGCCTTCTTCTCACAAGCGTGGTAAGTTGTCTCTTGAATAGAAGTTTTCTTTTAAGAGCTCTAGGACTATTCTTTAACCTTTTTTAACTGCATTATTGTGTTGTGTGTGAGACACATTTATGATGTGTTGCATGTTGCATTCTGCCAGGCAGGATAATGATACATAATCTGTTTTCAGATTGTTTGTAATTTGTGTGTTGAAAATTTGTTTTTGAATTAGTGCTGGAGAATCATTAAAGTGAACAATTAAAAATGTAA